CAAATCTAACAACATTCATGGTACAAATTGGGGAAAACGGTTACTCTAACCCTAAACTCAAATTCCATAAATTACTCACCAAATGCTGGTTATTGAACAATCGCAAGGTGTCTGTGTTGGGTCTTTGTGCGGCTTTGCTCCACAAATGGAACCTATCACTTCCAACGAATACGGCTTTTCTCCTTCCCCTTCCACTGCTTCGTCTTTTCACTGTTTCAGAATCCACGCCTTTGCTCCTTCCACTCAAAATAAATACTTTTTCACGGTTTAGATAGTGGAGTTGCGTTCAACCGTCGTTCAACTTTGCCTTCAACCGTCGTCGCCCGTTGCCTTCAACTGTTTCTCAGAGCTTAGCAGTTTCTCTCAGCTATGAGTTTCAGATCAATGAGTTTTTTCTGTTCAAACTTCGAACTTGCCTCTTTTTTTTTTTTTTTTTTGTTGGGACCAACTTCATTGCTGGATATTAAATTCGGGTTTGGGTTCCTCACCTACCCGATTGCACAATTTTATCCCAATTCTCCCCAGCCCTTGGATTGATCCAATGACTATAAAGTGAACCCCTTATAATTTACCCCTCATAACTTACCCCTCATTATAGTCTAAGCGGTTAATGAAAGCATCTTTTAAGACCCAAGAAAAAAGAAAAGAGAACAAATGATATTGTTTGGGCCTGGTTTTTACACAGTCGAGATTAAAGCTATATTGGGCCAAGTTATGGTCCGGGTTTTAATTTTAATTAAATATCCTGATCAATTTATGGTAAATATTATTATATGGTAATTTCCTAGATTTAAAGGGATATTCATAAAGATTACTTGGCGTAGAAGACAATCAAGTGATTGATCCCAGAATGATTCTGATTTCACCGTGACCTAATAGGAGATTACTCCCTACAAGGGTTAGGGTTACGCTACTATATAAAGGAGACACATCAACTTTCTCAAACACAACTTTTCAACAACAAACTCTACACTAAAGCCAAAGCTTTTAGTCAAAGACATTCGTCTCTCTTCTATTTGCTCTGCCAAGCCTCCTTGGTATCGATTTCTAATTGACTATGTCAGTTGAAGGCCATTCTGGTTGCATCTTGTCTTTTTTTGATCTACTAGAACCGCACAGTTCCGATCCTTACTCGTGGCTTAGTTCGACTTTGATCCAAGATTAATACAAGGTGGTGGCAACTTGAAGTTCTGGTTGATCTGTTTTACTTGCTTTCATTTGTTTTCACTATTTTATTTACCTTTATTGCCCTTTCCATTATATTAGAGAAATTATGAAGTCCTTATTTGACTTAAGGCATAGAAAAGAACCTCATGGATTTAATACCGTTTCAATTCACAATCCTTTGATTAAAGTCATTTGCTAGGTGCTCAAGTTCTTTTATTTATTTATATTTATGTCTATAAGAATTAGTTAATTGCTAATAGTGGCACATTCGCAACTCACACTTTCCCAAAGTCTACTCTAGGGCTGCCTTTCATTTTTCAGGGTAAACAGATATGTCAGCTGAACCATCACTCACACCCTTGGGACATTTTATTGAGAGGACTCAAACTACTGACAGCCCTGACATGAAATACTACATCTCAAGCCTCCGAATTAATTGGAGAAATCATTATATGATACCATAGTACGGTCACATAGAATACCATATTATAATCTCTCAGAATTGGTCAATATTTGAGATGTATATTTATTGTTATGGCCCAAAAAATCGCAAGATCCATGGATATTTTAGGCCCAATGCATTATTATGCTATAAAAGAAGCCTAGCTAGGGACACGGAACCCCATCAGATACGGCTATGAAAGGCCTAAGCAAGCTTTGATATTCATGTCATGCCATGTGAGACTATAATTTGGCACTTGGGGAGGTCATGATATGGGTTTACCAATTTCACATGCAAACCTGTAAAGTTTAACAATGTCACACGCCCGAGCTCACCTAGCCCACTGCTTCGTCAAGCATTATCTAGCACAACCCCAAGCCACTGCAATACATCGTAGCCTAAGCATAAGTACACAAATAATATATCATGCCTAGAGAATCCCTTTAGTGCCAAACCATCTGACAAGCTTAAGTAGGCCCAAGCCACATACATGTCTGGCCTTGCTGAGCTTGTTGTGGTGTGAATGGGTACGAGGGTCCATAAGGCCAATTGAGGGTTCAATAGGTAGATGTTTTGGGTAGCTTGGGGTTACTAAAACCCAAGCCCACTTTCTTGAGCCCAACTACATGGATAAGCACACAGAGAATTCCATCCCCCCTTTTGTTGAAGCCAAACCAACTTACTTAAAACCAAATCACAATCACTTAAATATCGTTCACTTAGATACATAGGCTGCTGGAAGCTCACGTCTTTCTCCCATTCGACCAGCACCTTCACCCAAAATTTAGACTATAAGGTATCATAAAAAAATAAGGAGAGAAAGCAAAGGAGAGCGTTGCCAAGAATGAAGGTTGCTATAAGGTTTAGTTGCAGGAAGGCTTTGGGGCACCAAAATTTGTTTTGTCTCAATAACCATGGGCTCAACTGATTTTAGGGAATTTAACTGATTAATGCCAAATTGGAGAAAGTGAAGGGGAAGAGGAGAGGAGACTTGGCTGAAAAAGGAAGAAATGGCTAGGGTTTGAAGGGTTCTAACTCCTATAAAATAAGGTAATAGATTAACCAGCAAAGGGAGAACTCAAGCAGAGTGAGCAAGCCTCTGCTCCAACTGCTGTAAACACAAAAGCTCAAGCCATAATCTTTCACTTCTCCACCTTCTCTCTCAAAAGCCCCATTCCAGATCAAAAGCACCCATTTTTCTCTTCTTAAGTATCTTGTTCTAACAAATCTCTAAAGCCAAGCTGAAATCATAGTCATCATCTTGGTAAGAAACCACAACCAGAGCGAGCAAGATATCCTCTTAGTGCTGGAAACATCAAGCTCAAGCACCATCTTTTTCATCTTATTATCTTCTCTCTCAAAAGGCCTTATTCCATATCTGGCACGCCCATCCTCTAAAGCCAAACTGAACTTAGAGGCTCTTATCTCCCACGCCACAAGCCTCTCATGCCAAACCTAACCGTATCTTGATTCACCAAAGCAAGCTTTCATGCCATGCCTATACGGTCTCTGCAACATCTTCAACTCTTTTCAGAGCTGCTGAATGCTTATCCGAACAAGCGGCAACGCCTTTCCACGTTGAGCAACTTCCTCCTAGTAACCCCTATATCCTTATCATCAACACATGCAATGTATTGAAGAGCCATTGAAGATGACCAAAGCACTCCCTAAGGCTTCAGCTCTATCAAAGTGTTTAGGGTCTTGGTGCTGCAAACTCAGGCAAAGGTGAAAGAGAGCCCAGCCCACCTCGTAGCAGTCCAATAAGCCCCTTGCAGCTCTTAGCAAAAATAACCCAACATTTATCAACTATTAATTAGGGATGGGGATGTGGGTATGCCATCCCCATCCCCATCCCCATTAAGCATTTTTCTCCATCCCCCACCTATATTGGGGAAAGGTTTCTTTCGCATTAAATAAAAACTAATTTTTTTTATGGGAAAAAAAAATACTATGAGCGCAACATATTTACTTTTTTAACCAAATATATACAACTAGTAAGTTTAAAGAGATTCCTCTAAATTTAATTATATATAGTACTATAATTTATAAAATACAAAATTTTGTTAGAGTCACTCTAATAATCTATATATATAAAGCAAAAGACAGAGAATAGTGAAACATTTAAAATACTAGAAAATGCCCTTGGTTAATTCAAACATTAAGAATTGAAATTATTAATTAAATGAGGACAATATAGTAAATTCACTTTTTTCATATTAAAAAAAATTAAAATTAAAAACAAAATCAAATAATAGGTTCTACTTTGATGGAACATAACTACCCATAAAATTAAAAATTAAAAAGAAAACCAATTGGCCAAGGGGCTAGTATATACTATATATATTCTAAACGGGAGGGTTTGGAGAGGGAATTGAAATACCATCCTCACTCCTCCTTGAAATACCATCCATACCTAATTTTTATCCTTCATACCCGATTTGTTAGGGTCAAATTCCGACGAGGAAAATTGCCATGACCTCCCAAAGTTCCACTTTAAAGTTCCCTGTTATTTCTCAAATCTCTCTTAAAATTTGCCAAACATGTTGGTTTGACCATGCGGGACTTTCAAGTTCCACTTATCTCGAATCTCATCTCTAAGTACCTCATCCAAACATAGTGTTAAGGAAAAATTCAATAACGGCCCTAAATCCGCTCTCGTTCGACCACAATTCCCAAACTCTCGACTCCAATTCGTTCGTACACCTGGTGGTCAATTTATTTAATATTAAATTCAGGCCAAAATAATTCCTAAATATAAATAGAAAAAATTTTGAAAACGAAAAAGAAAGGACAGGCGTGAAGGATGCCAAAGCAAGCAGGCAAGCAGGTAAATGCTTCTTCTCTGCTTACGCCAATATAAATACTTCACAATACTTATGGTTGTTTTCTTTCCTAAATTATCGAATCCAAAATCTGTTACTTTTTTATTCTATAAATAATAACAACGAAAAATAAAAAGGGTTATTGGGGATTTTCAGATGAGGGCCAACTTCTAAATGGATGTTGATTTCGACAATTGCAATGACCTCTGAGGCTCTGAATCTGTATTTTCATGGCGAGCAGGTATTTTATTTCTCTTCCTGTAATTCTAATGGGTTTGCTGTTAAATTAATATAGGGCATGACATTGTTTTTATTTTTCCAGAGACAAAATATATATATTTTTTCGTAATTAATTTGAATTTTGCAGTTGATTGTTGGTGATTAATTGTGTTAAATATTCAAATTGAAAAGATGTCATTCAAAAAGAGGGAAGGTACAATAGAGAAAGCTTTGACACAGGAAGAGCAGCTGCTCAAGGTAATATAATAATAATAATAATAATAATACTCTAATTTCTGTGTGATTTAATTCAATCATATTTTTTGCTTCTGTATCATTTACATGTCAATGACTTTGAATCCCCATATCCCACAATACCAGGTACTTAAAAAAAAAATCATTCATATTGTACATTTCCTGCTTTTGCTAAAATAATAATCTAAAGTTGTTCCTTGATCTTGCATACAAACTAGTAATGTATAGAATTAAATAATCAATGATCATTTCTTTCAATCTGAAGAGCACACTTGCTTGCTTCTGGGTGGATTTAAAATCAGTTTTTAAAGCATTTGCACGTTTTTAAGAAATAAGGAAATGATTTTGTTTATTCTTCCATGGACAAGTTATTCTGATAGACTGCTAGCAGTTTCTTTTAATGGGGCCTTTTATTTATTTATTTATTTATTTATATATATTTGGTTTCAAATGTTCGACGGTTCTTCCCTGGAAAGTTGCATCTGCATCTGGTTTCCAATTTCAGCTATCCTCAATTTTCTTCCTTTGTTTTGACTTTGACCTCTTTTAGAATAAGGTCTATCGTGTTTGGATGATAGCGCATTGTTGTTTGGCCAAAGAGAGACAAATTCAAATTCTGATTGTTGACCTGACTTGCTATTGATGTCTGCAGACAAATTGAAAACTAGACTCTTCAGATTATTCCTCCATGAATTTGAAATATATAGAAACGTTTTTTCATGCCTAATTTTGTCACATATGTTGTACAAATGAGAGTGAAGTCCTAGATAAAGATGTAAGACTTCATTTCATGGTAGCGGAGCGGTGATTGAGAAATTTGATGAAGTGGTAAAGTTATATGTCTTAATGATGAATCTCTTCATAGGAAATAATTTTCCCTTCTTCTCTTCAGATTTATGAAGTCAGACATATGATAGGTCCTATTGCTGATAAGCTACCAGCCATTTGTTCAGAAGAATCAATAGCAAGGTACCTAAGAGCACGGAACTGGAATACAAAGAAGGCAGGTAAGATGTTGAAAGAAACAATAAAATGGAGGATGGAGTACAAGCCAGAGAAGATCCGATGGGTAAGCTGAGATATGTGATGTCATGTCTGTTTACAGCAACATAATTTATTGTTCCAGAATATTCAGAGAGCCCTAATGTTTGAAGAATGAGAAACAAGTGTAGTTCTATATATATTTTTATAATGCACTTGTCATGTACAAGCCATTGTTCTGAGAAACGTGTTTGTTAAACCCCATAGAATACATCCACACATTTCAGAATGCTAGAGACGTGAACTGGCAGATTCTTCTTAATCCAATTCCCTTAGCTAATTCGAATGTTTGCCAAACTGTTCTCTTCTCCTCCAAGTTATGAGTGATTTATGCTTTTCGTTCTTGCCACTTGCCGATTTAAAGTGGTTTGTTCTTATCTCATATAGGAAAACATTGCTCCTGAGGGAGAGACAGGAAAAATTTACAGAGCCAATTACTTTGACAAGTGTGGAAGGACCATTCTTATCATGAGGCCTGGTTTTCAGGTAGTTAAAAAGCATGACATGAGTCTTACTTTCTACATTTATGTCAATTAATAGTTATCACTATTTTTCTGATTAGTAGGTTTTAAGCCTTTTTTTTCTTTCCTTTTTCTTCTTGATTGTGAAATTCTTTCGTCATGTCAGAACACAAGTGCAGTAAATGGGCAGATCATGTATTTAGTATATTGCATGGAGAATGCAATACTGAATTTGAATTCAGATCAAGAACAGATGGTTTGGCTAATTGATTTTCAACGGTGGAGCTCATCAAGCATATCATTGAAGGTGACTAGGGAAACAGCTAAGGTCCTGCAGAATCATTACCCTGAGAGATTGGGCCTTGGTATCCTCTATAATCCACCAAAAATATTCGAGTCCTTTTGGACGGTATGTTGTTTTACATCTTTTCATTTGTTATTACTTTCTTGTCTAAACCTTATTATTGTTTATTGTTATGATATTAACCTTTGCATGTTCTAGTGCCTGAGTCATGAATTTGATGCAGGATAGAATGGATCACATTACTATAAATAGGGAACCAGGTTTAGTGTGTGTTGTGCTATGTTGTAAAATTAGAATATAAGCAAGGACCTTGGGATTGTTTCAGTGATCTGTATGTGAGTGGGGGTGACCAAACTAGCAACAGGAGTGATTAACTGCATCAATGGTGCAAAGAAATTAGTATAAATACGATATTAGTTCAGGGTTTCCTTGTGGATTTGTGGCCACAGAACCATTGGCTGTAACCCAGAATAACCTGTCAATGACTCGAATAAGAGAATTGCCTTTCTATTCAAAACAACCCCTGACAAAAATAAGTTGAATTTTTTACATTCAAAGACTGAAAAAACAGAATACCGGATAAAATAGCCTAACAGCATCCAGTACAGAAATTCTTTCCCATGTTGTAAAATAAAACCAAGTGTATGAAAATTAAATAAATAAAATAACTCAAACTAAGGTTTTAAACACTGAAATGTCTATTATGGACATTTATTTGGACAAATATCTCTTCCTAACAGTTTTAAGGCTCACAGGGCGTGTCTTGCACTTCACCTGATGGTACAATTGGTTTGTTAGAATTATCTGGTACTGACAACTAGGTTCTTTCATGTTTTTATTTGAAATGATTTAAATCATCATTTGCTAACTTTTATGTCTGTTTAAGGATATTTATCAAATTCTCCTTGTTATATATCTAAAAAATTTGGTGAAACTTTCTTTGAAACAGATGGTAAAACCATTTCTTGAGCCCAAAACATACAAGAAGATGAAGTTTGTGTACTCTGACAACCCACAGAGCCAGAAGATAATGGAGGATCTTTTCCATATGGATAAGTTGGAATCTGCATTTGGTGGAAAAAATTCATGTGGTTTTGACTATCAAGCTTTTGCACAAAGAATGAGGGAAGATGACAAGAAGATGTCTAGTTTTATTGACTCCGGTTGTTCGCCTTCAGTTATATCTGAGTTGCAGCAGTCAGATGCACTGGCTTCTGACCATTGTTCTGAGGTCTCTGATGAAGGTGGCTGCTCATCATGTGATGAAGCAGCTTCTTCGAACTTGGACGTTGTGGATGAGAAGATACAAGGCCAAACACTCGACAGCAAAGATGTTGCAAATGGCAACACAACATTACCTAAAGAAATGCAAATGAGTGAGCCTGCATGAGCACTAGATTTTAGGATCTGGTTTATGATATTGGTCTCGCAAATTCTTAGCTTACATGATTTCACCTTAATGCAATGAAGCGTTAGCAGAAATTTTCGGCTTCTTTTACCCTGTTGGTTTCAAAGTGAATACCAACTTCAAGTAATGCACCATTTAAGATATATATATATCATTTTTATGGTACAGACATAAGCAGTTTGTGAATTCTAGAATGCTTTTCCCAGTGTTTAATATTTGTGGTTCTACTTCTTGTTTCCTGACCTGTTTTCAATGTCAAATGTTTCTGGGGATTAGAGTTTTGGGAATGTGATACCCCTGAATCTCGCGTCGGAAAATACGCTGGGAAGATCTTGGGAACTAATCAAAGTCAAGCTCTGTAGCTGTGGGTTCATGGGTGGCTTGGCTCATTTTTCCTTCTTCTTATGATACAGATGATAGAGTGGGAAATATTCAAAGAAAAGAGAGGAACAAATTTGCTGGCCGTTGATTGACTAGCTCTATAATAAGCCGAGGAGAAAGAAAACAAAATGTTCCCTTGGAGAGTTGCTCTATTGCTCAAGAGTTTGCAACAGAACATGACAGAGCATGCCCCCTTACCCAAAGGCAGCGTATTGCCATATTCTAATTCGGTAAAAAATTATTTTTTGTCCTTGCAGTTTACTGGTTTTACAATTTTGGTTCCTATAGTTTCAATTTTGGCAATTTTGGTTACTGAAATATATCCTTGTCGTTTTAAATCCGAGCAATTCAAGGAACGTTACAAATTCTGTCAAATTCCTTCTAATTCGGTTACAAATTCTATCAAATCCCGTGCTCAAAACGTAGTGGAATTGATCGAATTTGTAATGTGTCTTTGAATTGTTTGGATTTAAAATTACATGGATAAAATTGAAAAAACTGAAACTATGGGATCCAAAGTGGTAAAATTGGCAAACAACATGGACTAACTGTGAATTTTTGCCTTCTAATTCTGTTATCAATTGAGCCCAAAAACTTGTATCTATTAAGACTTATTGCTTGAGAAATTTGTTTGAGCTGAAGACAAAAGTTGTCTCTTCTCTGCAAGTGGTAGAGTGCAGGCGTCCAGCTGCCCAACCATTAATTCATTTCACGAACATCATCACTTCCTTCAATTTGTTGTTCAAACTCAAGAAAACCCCTTTGCCTTTCTCTCCTATCTCAGTAAATTGAACCATAAACTTGGGAAGTGAAGGTAAATGGCGCCTTATAAATAGATAAACAAATGAAATATACCCTTTTACTATAACCATGAGTAACAACTTGTAAATCCATTGAATTTCTTTTGTTCTCCTTATAATATCATAAGATAGCCAATCTCACTCTTAACAAGTTTAAGAAAGGGATCCATTGAAGATGTTACGTTTGATGTCTTTGATTGTATTGTTGAAGTTTATTAAATGAAGTTTCTATTTGATAAAAAATAAAGGAAGAATTATAATTTTGGTTACTGGGGTTAGGGTTTATTTTAATTTTGGTCACCGCACTTTCAATTTTCCGATTTTGGTCATCACATTTTGTATCGTCAGCAAATCAAGTCCAATTGGGGTATTTCGTCAATTAAGACGCGCGTGGTGCATGCGTGCATGGGCATTATTGCCCTTTTGCCTCAGCCCCTTAATCAAAACTCCATTCACTCGATTTCGAGCCCCAAAACAATTTTAGGGTTATGAGATTTTCCCCAAAAGGCTGGTCGATTTCGAGGGATTTGGGTTGATATCATCCAATTGATCAATTTGATAGGGTAAATCACGATTTGAAAGGGAATCATCAATTTTAGGTACTAATTCATCCATTTTGGGGATAATTGCTTGTCTGATTTGGTGATATGTGAAGGAAACATAAGCATCTCATGACTTGGAATGAATTTTGTCACAACATATAACACATAAACATTCATAATGGCAGATTGATTATGCTTATTCTAGTTTACTTAAGCCTTTTTCATTTTAAACCCAAGCATTTTATGATCTAGTCTCTTTGAGTACAAATGGAAAAAAAGGAAAAAAAAGGTATGAGAGTTTACCCTTTATGACTATTTCTTGGACAAGCCAATAATGAACACCTTTGTAGGAAAATGTCTTCTTCTCTTCCTCTTCTCAAAAGCCCCCAAGACTCCAAGAGTGAAGTCATCTACCTTGCCACACCAAAATGGAATAGAAGAGAAATCAACCTAGAGAACTTAGGTGCTAGTCTTTCTCTAGGTTGGACTGGATTTTGGCTAAGAAATATGAGAGTGAGGATGTCTCTCCTACACATCAAAAATCCAAGAGTGAATGCCAAAAACCCTAACTTGAAAATGTCAAAGTGTGGCTTATATATATATCCAACAAGAAGATGAAGAGAAATTCCTAATAGGAATTTTCAGTCATGGTGTGTCTAGGGCTCATTTAACTTGTGTTGTTATACAACGCATGTTCTTAGGCCTAATGAGTCCTTGGGCTATTTTGTCATTTGGCCCAAAATGCCTTTAAAGCCCAAATCAACACCAACCATCAAACTAACTTCACAATTAACATTTTAATTATGATTTTTGACTTAACCATTAAGTCATATCCTTAGTCCGAATAGTTTGACTTGGTCAATTGTTTTGGCCAAATATGTTGACTTTGACTTTGACCGTTGACTTTCAACATTTTATCTTCCGCATTTGTTTTTCAAGTTTCTTTTCTATTCATTTGTTTCTCAAATCACATTTCTTCGTGTGTGATCCATAGATTCCATTTAGCAAGGCAGTGGGTAGACTCAACTTCTCTGATTAACTTGTGAATTAAATTTTACTATTCAATTCTTCCTATTAGTGAAGGTCAATTATGATTGAGCCTTTTTGGACTTTCACAAATCATGGTTGATGCCTAGTGTTAAGGCCCAAAAAAGTCACGGGAAGCCCAAAGACATTTAAAACCCAATATAACATATAATGTCGGTCATGTGTTAATCCAAGCTGTATTTTGGGATTTAATTCATTAAATAAATATAGAAATAGCGTACATGCCATGTCAAACTAATAATACATTTTTCCATGCCGATCACCTATCAAGCTCACATGAACCCAAGTCATGTGGTTTACGGGGCTTGCTTGAGAGATTGTGGTGTGGAAGGTTACGGAGGTTCACAAGGCCCACGGAAGCTCTCAGATAATGGAGACTTTGGCTAGCTACTTGGGAGCAACAAAGTCCAAGCCCATTACTTAGAGTTCTCCAATGTGGGTGAGCAAATGAGAAATTTTTCAAGCACTTTCTTTTACCCATAGGAAATAGTCATTTTCCAAATACCTAGCTTTACCCATTGGAAACAAGCCTTTTCCAACACTTCCTATTACCCACTGGAAACAAGCAGTTTCCAGTGCTTCCTTTTACCCATAGGAAATAATCAGTTTATGGTACCTAGATTTACATGTTGGAAAATAGTATGCCCCAGTGCTCCCTTTTAATCACTGGAAATAGGTTGATTCTAGCACCTCTCTTTACCTATTGGAAATAAAGGAAAACCCTCACCCTCTATAAATTGGCATTTATGGCTCAAGCAAAGGGCACCAAATTTTCTTCAGCCAACACTCCTCACTCGGCTGCTGTAAGCATCCCAGCAGCCATCAACCCTTCTTGGTTGCTGCAAGCTTCTCAGCAACCATGAGAACTCACCTTTCCTTAGCTGTTGCAAGTATTCCAGTAGCCTTCATAGTCATTCCTTAGCCATCACAACCATGTCTTTTACTTTCTCACCCTTGAAATCCATCATCTTCTCCATAAAGCCTCACCAAGCATAACTCCAAGCTTTTCATTCCTTCCAAGTTTTAAACATCATAGCCTTCAAACCTCAAGTTTTTCCTTCCATCCTCATTCTCTTGAAACTCCTAAATCCCCATAGCTATAGCCATACATAACAAATTATAAACACCAAACTCAAATATATCCAACACCAAGCCAAGCACATGCATTCTCATTTGCTAAACTTGTGGGTCTTTAGCTCCCACACTCCAAGCTCTCATGTCAAACCCATATAATCTCATATCAACATCAACAAGTCATCTTGAACTCTTCGTCGAGCTGCCAAAAACATCAACACAAAACACGCAGTCGCTAGAAGAAGAACAAAGTACTCCCCCGGGACTTGCTTCTCCCTCAGGATACTTTGGGCCTAGTTCTCGATAATTCAGACAACGGGGCAACGAAGTCTTCATTCATTACTCTACGGCGATCCAACGAAGTCGTCATTCATTACTCTTCATTCAACAAAACCCGGATGAGCCTTCGGACGAAAAAGACCCCAACATAAATGGCGACTCTGCTGGGGACTAGGCTATTACTCTTACAGCGGCTTCTCCACACAAGATTTAAGTCATGTCGATGCAATATACCAAAGATAAGAGTGTTTCCTCCTTTGTTTCTTTTTTCTTAGCCATATGCTCTGTAGAACAATCCAAAAAAAAATGTTGGTAACATTATCTCTTTCTCTGTTTCTTAGATCTATTTTCTCAAGCTAAATGAAATCTTGTGAAAGGACCCCTGGGGTTTAGGCAAATCGAGCATTCGTGCCACTAAGGTACCGGAGACACCAAAGCAAACTCCACAACCATCCTCAAATCCAAATGACTTGGGAGCTTCGTGCCAAGCAAATTTAATGCAAAATCAAAGGCAAAGTTTTCAAACTTGAGAGAAACAGAGCATACGAAGCAGAGAAAAGAAATAAAACCTTGAGCAGAAGAGGGTTGAGCTCAACATCCATTCACAAATTGGGGGCTTCAGCCAACATGCTAGCCGCTGACCATCGTCGTCAACTATGGAGGCTAGCCCTGCCGTTCACCTTTCCACCATGAAACATCATCAGCAAATCTGGCCATCAATCACCTTCGTAGCAACCCTCACCCCTCTAAGAGTTGTGCAAACACAATGAGAAGGGAGAAGGAACAGTTGCTTAATGCTCTCAGCCTCATCTCTGCGAATGGCTTCACCAAGTTAAGATTTTTTGTCTAATTAATCTCAATATAACATATATATTTGTTCATTGTTTTAATACATTCATAAAATTCATGTTTCATTGAATTGTCTTAAGCATAGACAAAAGCACGTGGGTTGGTCTGCCTAAGTCAA